CCCTAATTTTTTCTTTCTTTGGTTTTAATTTGCTCTTTTTCTAGTTTCCTAAGGTAGAGTCTTATTTATTTTAGATTTTTTTCTTCTTTCCTAATTCAATGCTATAAATCTCTCCATGCATTAGTTTCACTGCATCCCATAAAGCTTGATAAGTTGCATTTTAATTTTCATTTAGTTAGAAATATTTCAGAATTTCTCGAGATTTCTTCTTTGACCAAAGAAGTGTGTTTAATCTCCAAATATATTGGGCTTTTCTAGTTATCTTTTGGTTACTGATTTTTAGTTTCATTTAATTGTGGTCTGAGTATACTTTGTTTGATTTCTATTTTTGAATTTATTTTTCCAGGTTTATTGAGATATAATTGACATATAACATTATGTAAGTTTAAGGTGTACAATGTGATGATCTGATACCTGTATATATTGTAAAATGTTTACCAAAATAATTTCAGTTAAAACATTTTTCACCTCACATAATTACTATGCTGTTATTAATGTTATGGTGAGAATATTAAAGCTCTACTCTCATAGCAACTTTCAAGTATAAAATAGTATTAACTGTAGTAGCCATGCTGTACTAACAGATTTATCTTATAATCTACACATTGTAGATTTGTACACATTGACCAACATCTCCCCATTCCCCCCACTGCTCAGCCTCTGGCAACCCCATTGTACTCCCCATTTCTGAGTTCAATGTTTTTAGATTCCACATATAAGTGAGATCATTCAGTACTTGTCTTTGTCTGTTTATTTTACTTAGCATAATGCCTTCTGTGTCCATCAATGTTTTCACAAGTGGCAGAATTCCTTTCTTTTTTTATGGCTAATTCCTTTTATTTGTCTTATTATATTGGCTAGGACTTCCAGTATGATGTTGAAAAGGAGTGGTAAGAGGGGATATCCTTGCCTTGTTCCCAATCCTAGTGGGAAAGCTTCAAGCTTTTTACCATTAGATATGTTAGCTGCAGGTTTTCCGTACTTTTTATCAACTCAGAGAAGCTCTCCTCTATTCCTAGTTTACTGAGGGTGTTTGTTTTTTTACCAGAAATGAGGGCTGCATATTGTCAAATGCGTTTTTGTATCTTTTGATATGTTCATGTGATTTTTCTTTCTGTGTGTGTTGCTGTGATGGGTTTCATTAATCAATATTCATATGTTGAACAAGTCTTACATGTCTGGAATAAATCCCACTTAGTATTTTTTCTTTCATATATTTTCTTCATATTTTTTTATCTTTCCTTATCTTCTTAATGAAGTCCCTTTAACATTACTTGGTTTAGTGCTGATGAACTCCTTTAACTTTTTCTTGTCTGGGAAACTCTTTATCTTTCCTTCGATTCTAACTGATAGCCTACTGGGTAGAGCAATCTTAGTTGTGTTTGCCTTTCATCACTTTGAATATTTTGTGCCAATCCCTTCTGGCCTGCAAAATTTGTTGAGAAATCAGCTGACAGCCTTATCGGACTCCTTTGTGTGTAACTAACTGCTTTTCTCTTGCTACTTTTAAGATTTTCTTTTTGTCTCTAACCTTTGGCATTTTAATTATCCTGTTTCTCAGTGTGGGCCGCTGGCTTCCTCTTGTTTGGGACTCTCTGCACTTCCTGGACTTGTATGTCTATTTCCTTTGCCAGGTTAGAGACGTTTTCAGTAATTACTTGTTCAAATAGGTTTTCTATCTCTTGCTCTTTCTCTTCTCCTTCTGGGGTCCCTGATGTGACTGTTGGTATGCTTGATATTGTCCCAGAGGTCCCTTAAGCTACCCTCATTTTTAACTTTTTCTAAAATTCTGTTCTGATTGGGTGTTTTGTGCTACCTGTCATCCACATCACTGATTTGATCCTTTCCTTCACTTAATCTGTTGTTGCTTCCCTCTAATGTATTCTTCATTTCAGTTGTTATATTCTTCAACTGATTTTTTAATCGTTTTCTACGTCCATTTTTGTTTCCTGTATCTTTGATGAAATTCTCGCTGAGTTCATCTGTTCCTCCCCTAAGTTCACTGAGCATCTTTATAACCAGTGTTTTGAAATCTGCATCTAGTAGATTGGTTGTCTCCATTTTGTTCAGTTCTTTTTTGGGAAAGGCAAGAATGGGGTTAGGGTCTTGATCAATTCTCCTTGCTGATACTGCCAGGCTCACCTCTTTTCAGAGGGACTCCTCTTTGATCTGAGGGAGAAATGAGCCTACCTGGACTGCCTTCTGTTGTTAGTTTGGGGGTCAGGAAATACCCAAGCTGGACTGTCTTCTTTGGGGTTGTTATTCCAGTCCTGGGATCGCAAACCAGTTCTAAGATCTTTCGAAGTTCTCCTTTGGTTGTCTCTTGTATCATTTCCAGGATTTATAGTGGTACTTAGTCAGAATAAGCAGTGAGAAATGAGTCAACATCTTGTCTGTACCAGAAGAAGTCCAACCAACAGGATTTTATAGTACAAAATTCTGAAGTGAGACAATATTTTAGTCAGTCTTGGGTTCCAATGACCTACATGTGAGCTTGGTGACTTAGACACAGGACTTCAGCTATTTAAGCCACATGAGACATACTTAGAGCTCCCAGCTCGAGGCCCAGCAAAGGCGAGCCACTCAGTTGGTATTCAATATCTTTCCCTAGAAACCATCTAGTTCAAACCAGTTGTTTTAAACATAAGGCATCAGAGGCCTATAAATGCGGGAGCCTTTCAAATGTGCTGTGACACATATACCCAAGCGACATTTTTTCCCCCAAAGCCCCAAAGCATACTCTATCAATTCTTGATTATTTGGTTCCTTACTTCTACATGGTACTTCTGGTTCAGTTGGACAGGATTTGAAGATTGAAACAAAAAGTACCAATTTTCATTTGAAAAGTGCCTCAAAATTTACAAAGTGCTTTTACAAAGTTGCAATGTCCCTTGTTTGGCATAATTACCAAACTAACAGGGTAGAGATTATTCGTATTTTACAGATAAGGAAATTCAGTAAGTTGAAGGGCTGAGACTCACCCAGAGGTGATTTCTCATTCAGGGTCTTCCCTTGACACTTTCCCTATGTGAAACCAGACACTTACTAGATGAAAGGAGGCTGTGGAAATAGTTGATTTTAGGGCTCCCAAGTTGTCATGTCTTTGGGCTGATGTAGTGGGTTACTTTGCAACTACACAGTGGATAAATTCCAAGTTCAGGCTCATGTTCCATTTATAGCAAAGTACCCTGAAAACTTGGGAGTTCAAATTACCCTTAGAGAGTTTGCTGGTAAAAGTAAAATCTTCCTAGATAGATGAAATTAACCATCTGCTTAGGTTACCTCAGGGAAAGGGGTATCTTAGATCAGAAAGGAGGTTGCTGAATTCCAATAAAGGGAAATAGGGTATAGTTCAGGAAGGCAGGATTGTAATTTGATGTAGAAGAAAGCTGTAGCCTGGACAAACAAGAGGGAGTTGATTGAATAAACAATAGCTCACATAGCGGGATACTATGTGGCCATTAAAATTGATGAGATCGATCTGTATTTATTGAAACAAAAAGTTCAAAATTAAGCAAGAAACTTAAATAGGAGTGTGTAATGTGATCCTATTTTTGTTATGTATGCATGCATGTAGATTTATCTCTGCACAGAGAAATTATGACACCCCCCCTTTTGGGGGGTTCTTTATATTTTAAAAATATTCTATAATGAACAAACATTTCTTGGTTAATGATAAAAGACATAGCAGCCTAATCCACTTGTTATATACTGAATGTCTATGTCCCCCCCCCAAATTCATGTTGAAATTCTAACCCCTCCCCCAATATAATGGTAACGGGAGATGGGCCTTTGGGACGTGATTAGGATTAGATGAGGTCATGAAGGTGGAATCCTCACGAATGGGATTAGTGCCAGTTTAAGAGTCATAAGAGAGCATGCTTCTCTCTTCTATGTGAGGTTACAGCAAAGAGATAGCTGTCTAGAAAGTGAGCTCTCACAAGACACTAAATCTTATAGCAGCATGATCTTGGACTTCCAAGCCTCCAGACTGTGAGAAATAAATGATTGTTTATAGCCATCCAGATTCTGCTATTTTGTTATAGTCTGAATGGGCAGTAGTCTGAATGGGCTAAGACAGAAATTGTATTATAATGTAACCTGATTGTAACCTGATTGTATAAAGATAATGTGTCAAGAGTAGAAAGGGGGCTGAATGGAGCCGAGGAAAAAGGAAGCCTAAGACTAAGAATTAATCATCTTAGTCAGCAGCAAAACGGATAAAAGTAGGAGGCTGCCTGATGCATTCTGATTTGCTTTTGTATGTGCCAGGCTCTTTACCAGGTAGTGCTTTATATGTTAGCTCAGTTAATCTGCATAACCAACGTGTGGAAGAAAAGTACAATTATTACCCCCATTTTTCAGGTGAGACCTCTGAGGCTCAGAGAAGGGAAGTGACTTGCCTAAGGCTGTACAGCTGGTAAATGGCAAAGCCAGGACTAGAACCCAGGTTCTACCCACTGGAGGCCCTGGGCATGTGGTTCCCAAAGAGGGAGGCTCTGCTGTGGGGCAAGGAGATATCACTGGCCTCTTTTGCAGCCTGGAGGAAACAACCCCTGAGTTCATGAGGCTCCATGTGTGAGGATTCTTGCTGGGGGCAGGGGGAAGAAGGAGCCTGGGATGGGAATAAAGAGCCTGATTCTTGGACAGGTCTATCCCCCAGTGTGAATGAACAAACTGGCATTCGGTCAGACAGTATGCTTTCGTGAATTAAGTTGGTGTCAGTCTTGTCATCAGCTGATCAATGACAGCTAGACCCTGTACTCTATAGTGTTGTCCAGAACTAGGCGTCCTGGTACCTGTCTTATTTTAACATCAACAGTGCATACTTTAACTTACCTGCAGATTCTCTGTCTTTATATGGTGGTTTTTCCATTAAGGCTATGTCAGGAAACCTTTTTTTGAAGGTATGCCTCATTTCTCTTATAGCTATTACACAGCAATCTCACACACATAAAAGACTGAAGGTTTTTAATTTTAGACCAAAAAACCCCCCCAAAACAAAAAAAACCCCACAAAAAACAAAACAAACTGTTATTGATCAAATATCTTCAAACTGGAACACAATTGCAGAACGGAGCTAGTGAGAAATTTGGCACTAAACATATGGCAGTGAACATCCTGATGTGGTCATACACCCATATCCCAGTGGTATTGCAGGATCAAAATAATACACAACAGGAAGTTTAAAGTCAACCATACACACTGTTGTACCTTGGCAAGTTCAGACTTGAGCTACTGTGACAATGTCATTCTATAAATGTGGGGCTAATGAAAAGTTAGCTTCTCAAAGAACATATGCAGCTTGGATTCTCATTTATACATCAGTTGCAGAATGTCCATGCAGATATGCAGCTAACATGAACACATTATAGATAACACTGGTCATATATTTGAAGCCTACTTCTAAAGCTGCCTGATCAATACATCCAAGGGAAAAGGCCAATTTCTTCACCATCACGTTGGTTTGTATCTCTGGTTTGGCTTAACATGTCCTAAAGTCCACATGGCACTTAGATGGACACTATCAAAGTTAAAGGTCTATCACTGAAGGAGTTTTTAAATCTTGGATACATTCTCATCTGAATGCCCAAATGACCTGTAAGGCCAGATACTAGTTATAAAGTAAACACATATACATATACAAATACTCTTACTATAAGTTACATTCCAAAATGACTAAACTTGTTAGCTCTTTATAAGCCTAAGGCACCATTAACTAGAATACAGAACATGCTCTATTCCAGAACTAGGATATATGCTCTACATTCCCACCAGCACTCACAAAATACAAAAATAACCGTCTACAAATGTGAGTTAGGTGAAGACATGGAGATACTTTATGTGTATCAATGTGGCCAACTGCATGTTAGGTGGGATCAGAGACATGCGTCTGACCAGTGATCACTTAGTGCCTTGGTTGTACATATTCTCACCTGACTGGTGATGGGTCCAATGATGTTTCAGCTACAACGAGGCAAAGAAAGGGCCCAGCACTGACTTGTCTTAGGGACATATAAAGATGGGAGAATACCATCTATCATCCTTGACCCTTTAAAAGAAAAAAACAACAACAACCCAGGACCTAATACCCTAGCAGAGAAAAGTGTTTATAAAGAAAATACACAACTCAGAGCATTTTAAAGAGTTTCTACCAGTGTAAAAGACTTTTAGGAAATGCGTCACCCACAGTACTGCCTGAAAAGAAGAACCTTTTTTGGACATTACTGGAGCACATACAAACTTAAATAAATAGAATGCTGGTCTTCCTGGACTGGCATATATATTCCTTTTTCTTAACTGGCCAGGTGTATTTCTGTATTCCTTTCTCTTCTCTCCTGCCCCTCCCCCACCTTCCCCACAACCGGGATTCCATGAGGGCTGGTGTAGGGCTCTCTAAAGAGAGTATAAAGCCTCAAAATGGTTGAAAAGAGACGAAGCTTTAGAAGAGAAAGAGGCATTTAGATCATCCCCAGAGCTTTAGAAAACACCAAGAAACAGGACACTGGACTTAACATGGAAGCTGTTGGTTTCATACAGGCCAACTTCTGAACATGTTTTTGTTTAGCCCCAGAAAGACACAGGCGTAAATTAGCAGCTTTCAAAGCACATTTGCCTTTTGTGAAGACAAGTCACAAATCACAGAGCATGTAACACATTTTTACTTGCAGTGACATCTAAAAATGTTGTGGACTGCACAAAACCAATACTTCCTATTTAAGGGAAGGCACAGAAGTTGGTTTCACAGCCAGGGAATCAGAGAAGACATATTCTGTATGGCTTGAAATTACTTTTTTTTTTTTTTGCTTTGGAAAAGCTTCTATGCTACCATCAAATGCTTTGAAAACAGAACTGTCTATAAAAGAACAACAAACTAAGAGTCCTTTACAACCCCAAATCTTTTCCCTTGTCCTTTGTCTATTTGGTGTCACCCAACAGCAAGCCATTTTTTCACATTATCTATCTATCTATCTGTCTGTCTGTCTATCTATCTATCTATCTATCTGTATAAAATAAGCCCATAGGAAAAACTTTAAGGCTTAATCCATGTCTACGTTTTGTTTGTTTTTAAATGTCTATATCAAAAGTGAAGTCTAGATTTGGCCCTTAGAAGAAAGCAACCAGATTTGGCTGGAATCATATGTGTCTGTATCATACATAGAATTCTGGGAGGCAAAAGCCTGGGAGTGGGGGAAAGATTTGTTACAACAGATATCACCAAACCAACACATAGGGAATGAAGAGAGGAAGTGAGAACAATCTTCCTAAGTATAAACCGATCTGAAGTATAGTATACCTCTTGGGAGAACTATTTTTCTTAAAGGTAATTGACATTTCCCTACACAACTGTTTGAAAAAAGGCCACTTTATAAAATATTCTCACAGAAAGATTTCCAAGTGGTATGTATATCAAAGCTTAACAGTGTCAAGAAGGTGTTGTGTTTCATAAAAGCCAGTAAGTAACAAAGATCTGACGTAGTGATTAGACGTCTCTTTCTGCTAAATTCAGGCTAAGCTTAAATATTTACCAATTTGGTTTGAAAAGCACCTCTTAAAAAGCCTTGGATTAAGTGTTCAGGGAAAGATCTTACTTTCAGTGAACTGTGAGGTGTGTCTCTGACAAAAGGCGCCCATTCATGTTGACAGGCAATAACTAACTTGGTAGGAATTGAACACAATTTCTAGGATGACTTTCCAAAGATATATGGCCTAATACATGCATCATAAGGTTTTTGTTCTTGCCCTGTTAATTCCAAATAGAGTTTCAGGTTTTCTTTCATACAGCAAACCCTATCCCTGAATTTCTTCTTTGAAAAGTCAGACTATTAGCTGTAACTTAGTGTTGTTATTTAGGATTGTGTTTATCTATTACAATGAGGAATCTGAATCTGTCATTATATAAACTAATTAAATAATTATTTTTTTAAAAGGTGTCTATGTAGAATCTCTCCTACCCTCATGGCCACAAGCACAGGCACAGAGCCTGTCTCGTGCTTAGAAAAGATACGCAGTGATCCCAGGCCTGTGAAACTTGGGTAGGAAACAGGCAGAGGTCAGTTTAGTGGATGAGAGAGTGGCAGGTGGTTAAATGCCTTCCTATTTAAGTGGGGCAGTCACATTAGAATGGAATTTCTGCTCAGGGAACTGGAAGGGTAGGACAGTGGGGGAAGGAATCACATTTCTTTCACAGTGTAGGTGCTATATGAGGGTATGAAATGAAAGCCATTAACAGATCATTTTTTCTAGTATACCCAGCAAGTCTCCTTCAGGTGTTTCCTCTCTGTCACGAGGCTCCTGACTACAGATATCTACTGGGTTTTTAGCAGTGCATAAATATTTGGATCCCACTGAACTTTTTTCCTCTCTCAGGTTTTTAAATACAACTGTAAAACAAGGAGGTAGTAATGGAACATGTAGGGAAATAAAATGAAAAAAATACCAAATAAATTGACCTCATAGATCTTTAGGCTGAAATTGATTCCATGACCTTAGACACTCGACAAAATAAGATAGTCTTTTTAAATTTTTTGTTTTTTGTTGATGATTAAGGTTATGTAAGTCAAGGACCAAATTGTGGAAGGAGGGGGATCAGAGAAGATACAATAGAAAATCACCTTATTGCTTTAAAATGACAGGAACAAGGCAACTATCAAGAAAATGTAAATTTAAAAAATGGTTCCTATTTATAAATTGAAAAGACTCAAATGAGTTAGTTCTTCAAAAACACAGAATTAAAACAGCTTCCAAGAGGAGATAAATAAAAAAAGTGACTCCTATTTACATATGAAAAAAAGACAACCAAAATGATTTATTGTTCTTCCTCTAAAGAGGAAGGTTGTTTTTGGGTCCATCGTTTAGCTATGGGTGAGAAATCAAGGCGCTATCCTGGCTCTTCTCTGCTACTTCTAACACTTAAATTAAAAGGCACCTCTTTCTTAAGTGGGAGGAGGGGTGCCCTGGCCTTACCCATTTAAACCAATTGGAAAATCAGCATAGCCTTCTTTAGGACAAGAATCATTGTGAGTGGTGCAAGTACATCTAGAGTGGAAGCAGATGAGTAGCTCACTGTTGCTTGGAGCTGCCTGCCTCCATGGTGCTAGCCTTTGAAATACTTGTGTTCCCCGAGATGTCCGTTTCCCCAGAGGTGCCCATAACTCCAGATATGCTGATGTTTTCAGAGGAGCCCATTGTCTCAGAGATGCCTGTGTTGCCAGAGATGCCTGTGTTGCCAGAGATGCCCCTGGCCTCAGAGATACCTGTGTCTCCAGAGATACCTGTGCCTACATTTTCAGAAATGTTTATGGCCCTAAAGCTATCCATGATACTACAAGAGTCATGGTGATGGTCTGCACACTCGCTTTTTACTTGATCCATCTGAGCTCGGAGGCCTCCTTCCCTGGACAGGGTGCCATTCTCCATCAAGGTATTGAGGTCTCCATCAATACCCATAAAGCCGAGAGGATTGGTCAAAGGACTTTCCAGATGCTGAGACAATAAATTCCCTAATTGAGAGCAGGTACAGACTTCTTCTGTTGGCTCATCATGGGCTTTCAATTTCTGTCACAGGAGCAAGGAATGGGTGAAAATAATTAGAAACAGGAGAAAAGCTGGGCAAATATCACACTGACCTGTGGGGATCCTCCCTGCTGTCACTTATGTGGTAGCAAATGACCTTTTGTCCCCTTCTTACCCCAAACATCTTTTTTTCATCACTTGACAGAGTGATTTAAAAGCTCTACCATTAAAGATCCTCAACAGTCTTGCGTCTATAATAGTCTTCTTTTCTTAAAAATGCTATTATGGGGAGCAAGGAGGGCAAAGCAGAGGCTCATTGACATTTACTGAATACTTCTATGTGCTGGACACTTTACATATAATACTTCCTTTTATACTCATAAGAATCCTATCAGTTAGGTATTAGCTGTACTTCACAGATGAGGAAACTGAGGCACACAGAATTTAAGTGAATCACCCAAATTCATTTAGGAAGTGGCAGAGCTGGGATCTGACCCTGCCTGCCTCTCCTTAACAGCAAAGTCTATAACCTGTCTACTACCTCATGCTACCTCCAATGGATACTTTCACTTTCAGGGATAATACAATGATTCACTGATACTTTACAACAGTGATTTATAACTTTCTGGCAGTCATAGGGCCCTTTGAAAATCTGAAGAAAATGGACTTTCCTCTAAAAACAACCTACATGCATACACCTGTGTGTACATGAGACAGCACATACCCAGTTTTTAGGTATAATTTCAGGGACTTCACAGACACCCCATAGAGCATCTGTGGACCCCTATGGGCTCATGGACTCCAGTTAAGGGCTCCTGCCTTAAGAAATAGGCATATCATTTTTATTTTTCCAGAAATCACAAAATCAACACCTCTCTCTCTCTCTCTCTGCATATTCTAACTTTACATGTGAACTGCCTTTTAAAAACACTGACAGAGTTATTTGGGTAATAACATTATGGGCCACTTTTGTTTTTCTTCTCTGTATTAAAAAAGAATGTTAATAATTGCTATGTATATATTTTAAAAGGAAGCCTTCCTTAATTTTTTTTTCTTTAAGATCAGAGAATGATCTGATAACATCTGGAATGAATCTGATTCTCTCTCAGGAAACAGGCAGGAAGAAGTGAGAGGGCTGAGTCTAGCTAGAATAAGGGACCTGCTCTGGGGACCTTGCTGCTAATAGCTAAAAGAGACGGCAGGGGACCCTAGGAAAAGTCCTACTTCTCGGTTCTGCCTATGGCTTGGTCTTATCGGGGCTGCTTGCTTCCTATGATTTTAAGTCATGATTCAGTTTTCCAGTTTTCCTTCTTCTTCTTGCTGAAATGGAACCAAGTAACTGGCTTTTGCCTCCTAAGAGGACATTCATAAGTTTTGGGATTTGATGGAATAGCAATACATTTAGTTTCAAAATAAAAGGTTATTTGTTAACTTATAGGGAGAAGAAAAGCTATGCCTTATCTAGCCTACAGTGGGTTCACACCCAGTTCCTAAACAGCACACCCCTTCCAAGAATTCTTTTATAAGAGGTACTCCTCCCCTCTCCTTCAAACACACCCTTAAGGACCCCTAGATTCCAGAAGTAACTCAGCATTCTCCATATTTTGAAATGAAATCCTTGTTGACTTGTTTAAACTATAATTAAAAAAACATGTGTGACTTTGGTTTTGCTGGTATTATAAAGCAAAATCAACATGCACTGCATGACAACTCAATGAATAGTTTGCAATCTACACGGGAAGGAAATGAGAATTTGTATAAGGTTTTCCTAATTGAAAATATAACAATTTCCTTGTTCTTATCAGTATATCCAAGATGTTATACTTATTCTCTTGATGGATAACAAATGCCAGTTGGACTTCCCTGTTGTTCTCTCCTGTTTCTCCTAATGATTACATCCAGATCAAAAAAGAGAACCAAGCCACTAGTTTAACTAGTTGAGTATGATATTTACTATTTTTTATGTGGAGTAAGGAAAAAGAGTTGTGCCCCAGAACTTTATAGACACAGGACACCTGGAAGCCAAAAATTATAATAAGCCAGCCAGGCAGCTTCTCACAAGTACCAATTCAACTCCAAGTGGGCTGGGCCTACCCAAAACAGGAAGAGGATCTCATTTTGAGACTTTTCTCCACACCTTTTCTAGTTTGTGCACATCTGCCTCCAGCATTGTTCTCTGCTTCTTAATTTCCAAGAGGCTCTCAAGCATACTCTGCTTGGGATGCAGCCCTTTGTCAAAGCGGTTATACATCCCACACCAGAACCTTGAATAAACAAAAAGAAAAAAAAATAGTGGTTAGTTTAGCTGGAGGAATAGATTATTTCTTTTCCTTGTGTCAAGAAAATGTCAGCCTGGTAGGTGGGCAGATCTCAAAAGTAAGGTAATTTTGATGACATTAAAAAGACTGGACTTGCTAATTGAAGAGTCAAGTTCCTAGCAGAAAGATCTCTACAGAGACACTTGCGACTTGAGCAAATTTCACTTTCTTTTTCAAAATGAAATGAAATTTTTTTGGAAATAATTATACATTCACATGCAGTTTTAACAAATAATAGGGAGTGATATCAGCAAGATTACAAACTTGGAAGCTCTAGGCCCTTGTTCCCCCATGGAAACACTAAATACCAACAATAGATGAACAAAAGTAGCTTTGTGAGCACTCTAGAAACCGGGTAAGAAGCTGCAGCAACCAAGTGAATGCCTAGCCAAGAAAAACTGTACCGAAGAGGGTAGAAAAATTCATACTGCTTTTGCTTGTCCTTGCCCCAACCCCGCCCCAGTACAGCATGGTGCAACTGGGAGAATTGTGCCCAATTCCCAGTTTCTGTATCAGCATGGAAAGAAAAGAGTAGAAGTTGCTTGCAATGCTCTGGCTTGTCTATGGGCAGCCTGAGGGATTGATTTCTGCCTCACCTGCCTTCATGCATTGACTGGAATGGTCAAAGCAGTGGCAAGTGAGAGCAGCAGGGAGTCTGCAGGCACAAGGTGCCTATGGGCAAGAGATTATGAACAGAGGAATATAAGAGAAACTTCCAAGGCTTCTAAGAAATGGGTAAAACTCTTAGGGCAACTAGTACATTTTTAAAATTTATTTATCTTTTTTTAATTAGTTTCAGGTGTACAAAGCAATGTAATAGTTAGACATTTACACCCCACACAAAGTGATAACATGCCCCAACTAGTACCCCTCTGACATTATATACAGCTGTTACAATACCATTGACTATATTCCCTATGCTGTACTTTACATCCCATGGAATGAAAAAAATATATATATATATATATACACACACACACATACATACATATGTTTAATTATAGTTGACATTCAATATTATTGTACTTCAGCTTCAGGTGTATAGCGCAGTGGTCAGGCATCTATACAGTCTATGAAGTGATGCCCCTGATAAGTCCAGTACCCATCTGGCACCCTATGTAGTCTTCACAACATTATTGATTATATTCCCCATACTGTATTCCATATCCCTATGACTATATTGTGACCACTAATTTCTACTTTCTATTCCCTTCACATTCTTCCCCATCCCCTCCCCCTGCAATCTCGCAACCATCAGTTTTTTCCCTATATCTCTTAGTCTATTTCTGTTTTGTTTGCTCATTTATTTAAAAGCAGCTGAGTATATGGGTAATGGGAATAAAAGCACATGCACAGGCTCAGGGAAGACATGTTGAGAAAAGGTTAGAGTGAAGCCTGAGCCTTTAAACTTGCTGATTAGTGTAAGTCTTCCCCTGAATGGAGTCAATCCTCAAAGACTGGTAGATGTAGCTAATTGATAAATGCACAAATTTCAACATAAGATAATGAGGCATAAAGAGAAACAAAGAAACACAGTCCATTCAAAGGAACAAAATAAATAACCCTAAAGAAACAGAGGCCAGGCCGGCCGAGTGGCACGATGGTTAGGAACTGGCTTGGGACGCCAGAGGGCCCCGATTTGAATCCCACATGTGAGGGCCAGTGACACTGTCCTCTACAAAAAAAAAAAAAGAAAAAAAAGGAAACCGAGGCCTCTGGCTTATTTGACAAAAAATTTAAGACAAGTGCTTTAAATATGCTCAGTGAATTCAAAGAGAATGCAGACAGACTAATAAACAAAATCAGGGAATTGATTTAGGAACAAAATAAGAATATCATCAATGAGATAGACATGATATAAAAGAACCAAGCAGGAATTCTGAAGTTTAAAAAAAAAACCACAAAAAAATTTTAAAAATTCACTAGATGGGTTCAAAACAAATTTAATCAGGCAGAAGAAAGAATCAGCAAACTTGGAGACAGGTCATTTGAAATTATTAAGTCTGAGAAACAAAAAGAAAAAAGAATGAAAAGTGAACAGAGCCTAACGGACTTATGAGATAACATGAAATGTACCAATACAGGCATAA